CATGTACTGTAAGTTTCATCCCCCTGTAAAAGCTCCTCTGGGACTGAGGGCGTTGCGAAGTTGCGGCATCTGAGGACCGTCCACTTATGACGTCATAGGTCAGTAACCTGACCTGACCTGAAAATCTGGTTGGTGTCACAAGATTCGGCTTGAATCAAAGGTCAGGTATCCTAGTTTCAGCTCTCTGTTGCTCATGGCGTGTTCAGAGCTATCGCGAAAAAAAAAAAAACTAGGGGGGCGAGGATTAAGCTAGGCTGGGTTGGGCAAGTTTGGATCAAGTAGTAGGGGTCCCACCCGCACCACCTGTTTATAGCAGGTGTACCTAAACCACCAGCGACAGCTTCGTGGTAAGTTGCATTGGCACCACAACTATACGTACTTCTCAAATGTCTCAGCGAATGCTGGATTCGAAATAAGCTAAAAAAAAAATCCCTTAAAATCGTAAAATTTGAAACAGTCACCCGAAGTCACCAAACGTCAATGACCTTGACCTGGCCGACAACTGACAAGTCAACTTGAAACCCATCATGCAGATGCATAGGACAACCATCAGTTCACATGTTGGCACGTTTATATGTAATCACAATTTAAGTCTTGAAACGCAATTTTATGTGCGCTAACATAAACGGCAAATCATTTCGGTCTGCTATGGTCTCATAAATAAGATCAAAGGTCAAAGATCATTGGTTTCAGGATCATGAACTATATGGAGAATGTGTAACCAGTAACGTAGATAAGTTCGAGGACACTCAAAGTTGCGTCACGATCGGCCGCTTTTAGCGCGAGATAATCGCGAAAAAAACGAGGGGTTTTATCGGACCCGCACCCCTAAAAGTGTGAGGAATAACCCGCACACGGATAGCGACGGATATCCATCACACCTACCCCAGTAACTATATTTCCTACATGTACGCATATGCTAGCGATATAATGCAGCCAAAATTATCACAGTTACGTGCTTTGCCCCGGGCACCACATATACTCCTGAGCTGAATGTTCAAATTTTGTTCTCCTTTTCTTTTAAACTGAACTATATTGAACAAGATTTTCATTGGACAAGATTGTTGACGGCCCTCCTGTGAAACGAGACTCGATGAATTCTTAAACTCCCTAGTTATTTTGTAACAACCCTAGGTTCGTTGCATACTAACTAGGGAGGTTGCAACGACCCTAGTTTCGTTACAACGTCCCGGAACGAGCAGTTATTTTGTAACGTCCCTAGGGTCGTTGCAAACAAACTGATCGTTCAGGGAGGTTACAACCACCCTAGGGTCGTTGCAAACTAACTGAAATCGCATACTCCCTGTAACATATGCAAGGTACATAGATGACACTATCGGGGTGTGGACTCATTCTCATCAGGAGCTGCGAGCCTTCCTCGACTACATGAACTCCGTCCATCCGAGTATCAAGTTCACGATGGAGGACTCTTTCGATTCCGGTTTCATTCCGTATCTGGATACCCTCATATCGGTTGACAAGGACGGACAACTGTCGACAGAGCTTTTCATCAAGCCCAGCCACTCTGGAATCATCATTCATTACTCATCGGCACAGCCGATGACAACGAAGAAGGCTGTCATTAGAAGCGAGTTCTCAGTCTGATTCGTGTATGTAACATGTTTCCTAACCCTACATTAAAGAAAAAACGCGGTGGCGTGATTCCTATATATGCGTGCAACGAGGTCTTGAACTGCCTGATGCTGTGTTCTGTCCGCATGGTGTCAGGCAGTTCGTTCCATGTTCTGGTCGTAGCTGGGACGAGAGACCTTGCATACGACGCGGAACGAGCCGCTGGAATAGTGCGTTTGTTGTATTGCGTACAGCGTAATTGTCGTGTTAGCGCCGAATTTATTGTTGCTGGTATTATATCTTTTATGTAAATGGGCACTCGTTCGTCGACGATAATCTTATGATAGAGTTTCAGCCTGTGGGTGCGGCGCCTATCTTGTAAGGTGGTCCAGCCAAGCTCAGTCCTTAGTCCGGAGGTGGGTGTCCGGCGGTGAGTGGCAGTGATGAGGCGTGCTGCCCTGTTCTGCGCCTTCTCCAGTCGTGATTTGTCAAATATTGTTATATGACAATCATATATGGTATCACAGTAGTCGAGGTGAGGACGCACGTACATTTGATATATATTCAACAATATCTGTCTGGGAATCAAGGGTGCGATTGGAAATAGAGGACTCAGCGTGCGATTGAATTTTAACAGGACATTATCTACATGTGACTTGAACCTTAGGTCGGTAGAAATCGTTACGCCAAGATGCTTATGGGAATCTCGAACGGGAATTCCTACGCCACCAAAAACCAGGGTGGGAATTTTACCGTTATTTTTCGTGAAAGTCTGCTGAGTAATCTTCGTTGCGTTAAAGGTTACAATCCAATTATCTCCGTAGTGACTGATGCGTTCCAAGTCACGTTGCAGTGATCGTTGAACTTCGTTAACGTTGTCGGCATTGTGACTGGCATACAGTGAGCTGTCATCAGCAAAAAACAGCATTTCATTGTCGGTGATGCTACTAAGTCCGTTTAAATACAGGATGGCCAGAAGCGGGCCGAGAACAGATCCTTGCGGCACTCCTGCGAATAGTGTGCGCTAGGTGGATATGGCCTCCCCTACCTGAACTGATTGCTTCCTATCATGAAGGTAAGATTTAAGCCAATCGAGATTTGTGCCTCGTATTCCAAACTCAGCGTCACATTTTGCAACTACAGGGTGTCCCATAAGTTCCTTCTCACCTAAATTTTTCTTTTAGAGGCTCTCTTATTTAAAGCCACGCTTAATTTATTTTGTAACTGAGCTTTTGGGGTTGCCATGGCAACTGTGAATGTGCTCCACGGTAAATAATTCGTCTAGACAAAATATTTTTTGCCAGAGAGTTCACTTCCTTTGGAGACGGCTTACGCCGCAACATAGAGGTCTCTGATACGGGAACGTCTCGGTATTTAGACCGCACTGGGCCATTCACGACGGTTGAGGGTGATTGGGGCCATCCAGTATGTAGCCAATGTCTGTCGCTAACTGGACGCACAGTCAACAAGTGACGCCGATGATTTGTCGGGAGTCAATCGCTGCAAGTTTATGCTCTTTTTTTGTCAGCTTTCACGAGTGAGCCATGTGGCCAAAACTGTGTGGCGCCAAAATGGCCGTCAAAAAGGTCTTAGCGTTAGAAAGTTGGTAAACAGACTTTTCAGGATGCATTACCAGCTGTTTAAGAGTATCATTTCGGGGTACCTAACTCAAGGTCACTTAAGCTCTACTTACTGGAGGGCTCAAAACAGTCAAAAACGTCTTAAAATGGCCAAACATGTGTTTCGTTATGCCTGAGGCAAAAAAAAACTGGAGGGCCGATAACATCAATGTGGTCATCTGGACTACCTAGTCCGTGCTCGAGATAAAACACCCGTCCAAACCCCAAAACGGTCCCATATGGGCGACGGAAAAGGCCTTTGTGTCATCCAGCTTTATTCCTATGCATAAGGCCAGGGTCACGGTAATGTGGAGTAATATGCGTCCAGACACTGATCACGTTGCGATTGATGCTCCAGAAACAGTCTTGGGACGCAGAATGCTTCTCCAAGAAGATCTAGGAGGAGTTTCAGCTTTCTAGCTTAACTCAAACCGCAAGTATGACCACATTTTTTTAGAAGAAAATGGCATCCGGGAGGTCGTAGGCCCATCTTCAAGCAAGACAGTGCATCAGTGCAGAGGTCAAGCAAAGCATAAAAGCAGTGCCAGGAGACTGTGATAGGCGTGTGTGGCAAGATCACATCCCAGGCAACTCATCGGATCCAAATTTCCTAAAAATGTGTTGGGAATATTGAAATCGAGGCTCGTCGAAGCGAAGCGGTGTTCCAGCATTGAGGAGCTCACGGCGCATGCCAAGTCAGTCTGGGCTAACTTCAAGCCTGCTATGCTGCCAAACATGCCGGTTGGCATGTCGCAGCATGTCATCACGTGTTTGCCTATGAAATGGGGAGCACATTGAGGGGTTATAAACATATCAAAACGCAATGTACTATGTTTTACATGCAAATAAAAGGTGAGAACGAACTTATGGGACACCCTGTAGTCCTTCGTGCCATATCTTTTCGAAATATCTTGATATATATGTCCAAGTATATGATGGTGTAATCATTTCCGGAGTCAATGGATTTGTAAAGTTTGTCGGTGAGGTATGTTAGCTGGAGTTCCGTGTTGTGGCCTGGGCGGTAACCACTTTGTTTTTGTGTTATGAGGGCATTGTTTTGATTGATCGTATATTTGGGCGAATACGAGCTTTTCGAAGATTTTTGAGAGACAAGGTAGTAAACTGATTGGCCGATGCGATGCAGCTTCTGATGGAGAGCCCCTTCCCTTATAGATAGGTTTGACAGTTGCCAACTTCCACTGCGTTGGAAATTTTCCTTCGCAAAGTGATTTGTTAAAGATGTTAGCTAATGGCTCGGCAGTATACGCGGCGGTCATTTTAATTAGTTTTACGGGAAGTGCATCAGATCCGCAGGCTTTAGATGAATCCAAACTGTTTATTGTATGCAAAACCGATCTGGGCGTGATAGGAGTGAAGTGAAATTCCAGTGTTGTTCTGGTGTGACTCGATTTATAAGTCCCAAGTGACTGCAGGTGATGGTCTTTGACGTTTATCTTTGTTTGGGAGCAGAAGTATGAATTTAGAGCTTCGGCTTTTTCGTGATCTTCGCTAATAATCTCATCTCCGTCTATTAGAGGAGCCAGAGACGTCTTTTGCTTGAAACCCGTGATACTTTTAAGAATTTTATGATATTTATGTGGACTTTTCCTACTTTCCAGTAGTAAATTGACATTTTTTTTAACGCGTGCTTTTTATTTACACGTAAGATCCATTACAATATTGCATCGCAGGATTTTTTTCCACAAACGCGATTTACACGCACGCACACGCACACAAGGACACATACACCCATACACACGGAGGAGGTCGGGGCCGTTCCGCAGCCGGTGCCGCTCCCTGACGCGGCGGTCACAGCGCCCCGCCGGCTTCCTCCACACTGACCACTTGGTCGCAAAGGTCTTTGTGCAGGTAGAAGAAGATGTAGCCGTTCCTCTGGTGTCCGGCCTCGCCCAGAACGTCGGCCTCGTCCACACAGCTGACGCGCCGATCGTCGTAGTGGAACCACCTGTCCCTGCCGACGCTGTACACATCCGACACGTAGTGCCCAGAGTGCGTGGCGCTGCCGTAGTGGCTGACGACGCCCACCAGCCGGTAGGTAAAGTCGCCGGCCAGGTCCGCTGAGCGGGGAGACTGGCCGTCTTCCACGCAGAGCTCCGATAGGTGTGCCTGCTCCGAGGCGTCGGCCGGCGCTCCCTCCAGCGACCTCATGATGGCTTCCTGGAGCTCGCGGTCTTTGCTCTCGCAGGTCCGCGCCGGTTTGAACTTGGAGTCGGCGTCCAGCACCACCAGCTCGGCCTGCGCTGGCGGCGGCTGCGGCGGCTCGGCACCGGTCGCCGGTGACGGGGGACGCACCGGTGCCGCGGCTCCGGCCGACACCGGCGAGTCGGCGGCGGCGGACTCCGGCAAGCCGGCGGTGGCCGGCACTGGTGACAGTCCACGGGCGGCGGGCGGCGGCGACGGACTCGAGCTGGGCGCCTCAGACTCTTTGAAGTCGGATAGGATGCACAGGGCAGGCTTTGTGCACTTCCACTCTGGGGGCCGGGTGACGTCGTCCGCGACATGCTCGTTCAGCGAAAGGAGCTTGGGAATGCCGACGTTGGAGCAGATTTTCTTCGATTCCTCCCCAAGGAAGACGTACCGGTTAAGCTGGACTATCAGCGTCCTGGGCAGCTGGCTGATTTTGGTGGTGACGCGGCACTCGTCATGGCGGCAGTGCTGACAGAGCAGCTCACGCCGGTCAGGCCGCATGCACAGCCGCAGCGCGTCCTGCAGCGTGGGCGTCTCTGTGCCCTGGCGGCGCGGCACGCTGACAAACCAGCATATGTTCTCTTGCTGTTTCAGCACCGTTTCATGGCACTTGGTGCACATGTAGCTCTCGACGGTCTGATACTGAAAGTTGTCTCGCACAAGGTTATCGGTCGGCCGCCGCGCGTCGATTTCTTCCTTCATGGTGTCTAGCAGGCGCAGCAAGAACTCGTTGGCGTCCTGCATCTCGATGCCTCGGAACGCCGGATCGATGTCGGCGAACACGTCGCGAAGGTCGTTAAGATGGCTGGAGACTGATCTGCTGAGCCCCTTCTGACGGAGCACCATCAACTCCGCGACACCATGCAGTGTGCGGCAGAGGCTGTTCTCCCCTGGGCTCAGGTCGGAAATCAGCGACAGCATGTCGCTCAGGAACGGAGTCAGGCCCAGCAGAGATTGAAGCGTGGCGTTTTGATAGCACGAGTTGCCGTAGTTCGGCAGACCAATGCAGAGCGGGTCGCTGGCGCTCGTGTCCGACTCAAGCCGCCGGGTAGCCGTGATCAGCTGCGAGCCGGTGCTTTCCGTCTGCGTCCTCTTGCAGGGTGACTGTGGCGTCTGGCTGCTCTCGCCAGGGCCGTCGGTTGGCGGCATTCTGTCAGACGGCTGTAGCGCCTGCCCACACTCGCCAGCGCTGTCAGTCTGCGGCTTCCTGCCCTGCGGCAGCACCTGACTGCCCTCATCGAACTTGCCAGGCAGCAGTGGCGGACACACATGCTGGGTGATCTTGAAAGAAGAGCTACCGGCTTCGCTAGACTCCTCTTCACCTCCACGAAACGCGATGCTCATCTGCCGAGACGAAGATGTATCGCTCTCGCGCGCCGGTCGATGTACAGAGCGCCGCCGTGACAGAGATCGAACCGCAGGCCCTGGCACGAGCGGACCGCCATTCTGCGCCGTTACGACTCCGATAGCTGCACTAGACTTGTTCTTCTCCGCTTCTTTGCCTGCCATGTCTATTGGTGTCTTCGGCGAGGAATCGGAAAAGTCCGTTGTCTGCAAGACGCTAGCAGCATTGCCCCTAACGATGGCAAGGGCCAGCCGCTGCCACAGCCAAGCTGTCTCTCGATGATCCCCTGATATGGAGGCCATCCTTGCCCCGAGCTCTCGAATGAATATCTTTGTGGAAGGTCCACAGACTCCTGTTGTTTCAAAGGCAAGCGGTTCGAAGTGGAAGCGCTGTGCAAGGCCACTGTATTTCTTGCGCTTTCTGTCCTCTGCTTCACGGGCCGCTGATCCGGGGGAAACAGCTGCTGATAGAACGTGGCTCTCAGCAAACGTGTTCACGCAAGTAGCGTCCCAAGCTAGACACATGCCCCTGGCGAATGGAAAGACTGTTATGCCGTCTGGGCGTTTGCTGTCTCCGCGGTCTACACCTGTTGGCTCCAAGAGAGAGGGGATTCTTGCCGACAGCAATGCCCGCCTGATAATGTCGTTCAGCGCGGTATGTCTTGGATGTCTCCCAGCGCTGAACTTACAGGTGAGTGCGTGATAGCCGTTGCTGTCAGCCATTGAACCGCACCTACAGCAATGTGGGCGGCACACCTCGGCTCCCAGACGAAGGGCGATAGCGACTCGCAGGGTTTCCGGATCCAAAAGCGTGCCGATGGTTGCTGCAGGTACAGCATGCAGCCATGCCCCGCTTTCTGGGGCACAGGCACTCAGGAGCCTGGCGCGAACAAACTGGTTGGATTGCGAAAGCAGCGACTCTTGTTGTTTCTTGGCAAGCACTGTATCCCAGGTCTTTTGTTTTCGCGCTTCTTCTCCTTCGGGAGCACGCTCGCCCTCGGCTGCGTCTTCCCAGTCGGCAACAGCTTTTTCGCGCTCAGCTGTGGCGCTTGAGGTCATTGCAGAAGGCAGACAGGAAGATATGACCTGAAGGCACAAGTGGAGCGAAGCAACGTAGCTCGGTAGAGCGACGTCCACCAGCCGCCGGAGCCCGAGACCGCCGTACCTGGTTGGGAGAACGGCCTGCTGCCAGCTGGTTCCTGTCAGCCTGACGTTGCTGATACTGATCAGCGCTGATTGCAGGACTGCGTCCAGATTCTCAAGGAGCAAGACTTGCCGATAGAGAGGGGCGGCTCGCAGAAGATACTGCAGTTTGGGAAGCCATAGGCAGTTGCGAAGGAGGAAGATGGATGTGTGCGCGTCCAGGTGACGTAAACGCTCAATCATGTGACTGAGTTCTCCCTGCTTTTCTGTCATGACCGCCTCGGTGGCAGCTTCGCTGATAGGCGCCCCGAGAATGGTCTGCCCTTGTTCGCCGGTCACAGCTGCTCCTGGGATAAGCTGACGTAGGCTTGAGACAGAAACCTTCCTCCGCTCGTCTGTGATGTCGGCTGGTAAAATGATCTCACATTTGCTGGAATTGATTGTGAGACCAACATTGGCCATAGCTGGAATCAGCTCATTCAAGTCCGAGCAGATGGCACTGACGCTACCGCCAATGGTTCCATCGTCCAGGTACCAGCAGTTGAACGGTGCTTTCACTGCCTTGACAACTTCATCGATGGCGAGTGAAAACACGGCTGGCCCGCACGGGTCACCTTGTTGGAGTCCAGTGGCAGAGGTGATGATGGCTGTCCCGTAGAACAGAGGCGTAGGTTCTCTGTATGCCTGCCATAGAAGGTGGTACATAGTTGGTGCGTGCTCTCGAACTTGACGAAGAAAAAGGTCCCTTCGAACGCTGTTAAAGGCGTTACGCATGTCTAGCTTGATGATGGCACAATCCTCTTTAAGACTGTCATTGAAAAGGCGCGTTGAATGCACCGCAGCCTCACATCCACCTGTGGTTCCGTAGCCGAGCTGTGCTGGTCGCAGGTAAGCGCCCAACTCGGCACCGAGTGGTTTCAGAGCCAGTTTGGTAGCCAATCGTCGGTAAGTGTTTCCGACAGCGATCGGTCTTACACCGCCATCTGGTTTGCGCAGAGCTGTTAGCGCTCCTCCGAAGAAGGCAGAGCGTGCGAATGTTGCAACGCCGCCTGTGAGGACCAGGTTCATGAAGGCCGTGAGAGCAGCAATGAGTCGGGTGCCGGCCTCTCCGGCGGCCCGACTTGTCATATCTTTGAGGTGAGCAGGACGCAGGCCGTCTAGACCTGCGCTGGACCCGTTGTCAAATGAGGCGATGGATGCTTCAACCTCGGCCTTGGTGACCTGGTAGGGCTGTGTTGCGATGGCTTTAGAGAGCTTGCGCGATTTGTTCGGTGGGCGTCATGTTCGGTGGAAGCTGAATCTATGTAACTGCTCAGCTGTCGTCTTATTCTGGAGGTGAGTGATGGGCTGCTGGGGAGGTCTTCTTGATGCTCAGGCGAATGAAGCGCAAGATATGGAAACAGAAGCAGTCGCTCCCAAGCCGTGTTTGTGTTCTGTTTAACCACGGCTTCAAGAAGAGAGGTGCATGCTTCGGCTGCGGTTATCCTGGCACCTTTAGGAATTCGTCTAATGACTCGGCGAGTCTGTCTGAGTTGGGCTAGATGGAGAGCCAGTTCGTTGCTATCTGGTGACTGGTCAGCTGTTGGGGTGACTGAGGTGGTATGACACTTCGCCTCGCTAGCAGGTGTCGTCCCACTGATCCCGGTACACCTCGGGCACCACCAACACGACAGTGCGTCGGCCTCCCTCCGTTTCAGGCGCGCACACGTCAGGTGCCAGGCCTGGCCACAGGAACTGCATAGGATGTGCGGCTTTCTCCTGTTAGCAATACTGCAGAGTTGGCATGTTACGTCTTGAGACTGCTCAGTTGTATCATCGAGCGTGCCGTCCATGTCGGTTAAAAAAAAAGTCTTGTGGGCACACCAACTATTTTGACTGCATTGTGAAACACAACAGATTCTGGCTTAACCCGGCAGGCGGTGGGCCTACCAGCCACCTTCCGCGCGGTGGGGGGGGCACTTTTTTGCCCCCCCCCGTATCTCCGAAACTACTGGACGGATCCGGAAAATTCAAACGGCGTTCGATAGCCCTGTCAAATTTGTCGAGGGAAACCAAATTTCATTGACCTCGGGGTCACCGATGACGTCACAGGTCAGGTCAAAGATAAAATGTTTCACCGTTCACGGGGCTTCTAGGGAAAGCGCTATAACACCGAGTAAAACGCATTTTGTCGAAAATCAGCGATAAGGCGTCAGTTGTCTAGTACATATGTTGCTATTAGAGGTCACTGGTCATACCAGGTCAGGTCACAGGTCAGGTCACCAAAGGTCACCAAGGGTCACCACATTAGCCCAACTTTACTAAGGTTATGCGATGCATGTTTTATGGCCAGTTTTTCATTTCCAACTCAATGGTGTTGGTTATAAGACCATCAGGTACGGTTTAGGTCACTTTCTGGTGGAGGTCAGGTCAAGGTCAGGTCAAAAAAGGTCAAATTTCAAAGTTGATATTTTTGCAAAAAATGGGTATCGATTCGATGCAGCTCGTCACGGGGAGTCTAATGGTGGTCTTTGTTTTGCGCTACGAGGTCTAGAATTGCTAAAAATTGAGTTTGAAAATTTGACGTCATCAATTTTAAACAGTTTTTTCGCTATAACTTGGCCAAAAAAAGAGGTATCGATCTCAAATTTGGTATGTAGATAGAAGGCGGTATGGGCTATCACATATATTCCGGTTTTTTTCGAAATTCAAAAAACTTTTTGGATTTTTAGGCTATTATATTCAAAAAAACTATTTTTTTGATTTTTGGGGGTCAAAATAAAAAAAAATCGAAAAACCGAAATAGCAGTTTTGTAGCCCTCTTGATTCCACACCTTTTATGTCTGAAACATTTTTCTGTATCTCTAAAGCTGTAGGCCTGACAGCTCTTCCCGCGAAACCTTTTTTTGGGTCAAAAATGGCAAAAATGACGTCACTCTGACGTCATTAGCGGCCAACCTATCATAGCCTTTGGAAAAATTTTTGGTCACCATGTGCGCTAGCTGCTCCCGGGAGGGTACTGAAAGTTTGGTGACGATCGGCGCAGCGGTTCTCGAGATATATCGAAAAAACTAAAGGGGGGGCAAAAAAATGCCCCCCCCCCCACCGCCTGGAAGGTTAATGTAAAGGAAGAATGTGTTCCTTTGATCATAGTTATTTTAGTCATTCTTCCTTTTTTCTTATGGTGGTACGTCCCGAGAAGAATTCCCTTACCTAATGTTTTCTTCATAAATGGAGTTTAGCAGCAGCAATAAAAAATACTTCAACTGAGAGAGTTTGGCTCAAAACGTCACGTTTTATGAGAGAAAAAAGTGATGGCAGATTTTGCAGTTTATGTCCGGCACGGAGACAAAATAGACGCAAAATATGTTTTCCTGAAAAACGTACCTTAGAATAGAAGTGCACTTATCTTGAAAACACTTCACTTGCCTTGCATGAAAACATGCTCTAAATGATCAGCGAAGATTACTCGATGTAAAGTGCCAAGAGGTAATGCGATACAATGACAAAAAATGATTTCTGGACGATCGAAACGGGAGCCTCCGGTGAGTCAACCGTTCGGCTCTGCGCAGGCGCAGAGAAATTGACATTAGTTTTTATAGTTTTATTTTTTAGTTTTCTGTTGAGGCTGGTGACTAGGTTACGCTGGGACCGCCACTTGGCCCAATCTCTCTCTGTTCTTGTGTATTGAGCCCGCTTAAAAAGTCGGTCACGCTTACGCATTTCGCGTCTCAGCTCCGCCGAGACCCAGGGTTTGTTGTTACGGATTTTGATTGTTTTCGTTTGTATATGTGATTTAGCAATATGGATGATGGTCGATGTCAGTATCTCGACTGAATCATCGATGTTTTCGTCCGTAATAGCTTTCCAATCGATATTTGCAAGTGCTGTAATAAATTAATCGGTGTTCGTTTTTGCATAGTCCCAGACAGTGATTGTTGGGTGCTGATCTTCAAGCGTTGTCTGAATAGCAAGGGTGATGATCAGAGGCAGATGGTCTATATTGGAGAAGGCCGGCGCGGCAGCTGATTCTTTTACTAGATAGGGTTGATCTACAAAGGCTAAATCTCTGATGTTATGAGTGTTGTTTTGCACGCGCGTTGCAGAATGAATAATTTGCGTTAGATTTAGTGCGTCAGCTGTGGTTTTCAGTTTCGTCTCGAATGAGGTAATAGGGGAGTGGTTTGGCGCATTGGGAGGCAGCCAGCAGTTACCCGCGTTTAACCCGCGCCCCACTGGGGTCTGTGTATAACACGCCCTACTGGGGGGGGGGGGGCTATTCATAGCCCCCCCCCTCCTAACTCCGAAACTACTGGGCCGATCGTCAAAATTCAAACGGCGTCTGATAGCCCCGGAAAAACTGTGGAGCGAAACCTAATTTCATTGACCTCGAGGTCACCGATGACGTCACAGGTCAGGTCAAAGTAAAAATTATTAGCATTTTGGCTTGTTCACATTTTGGGCTCTGGCCGCCGTCTTACAAGTCAGATCATGCTCATTTTTGGTTTCCACACTCGTGAACAGATGCTCTAGATACCTTGAGGGTACCAAACTTGTACTTTGATTTTCAGGTCAGGGTCAGGTCATCACAGGTCACGGAAATATTATATCATGCGTCGGTCACGTGACACATGTTTTATGGTCAATTTAGGCCATAGATTTCGAATTTGATGTCGTCTGTGTCATTTGAGGTCATTTTGAGTCGAAGTTAGCTTAGGTCAGGTCACTTTCAGGTCAAAAAAGGTCAAATTTTGAAGTTAAAATTTTTCAACAAAAGGTGTCTATTGGATGCAGTTTGATCTCAGGAACACGATGGTGCCATTTATATTGGTGTACGATGTCAAATACGTACTGAAAAATTGATTTGAAAAATTAATAATTGTGAATTTTTTGCAATAATGCGTATAACTTAGCCATTTTTGAAGATATTTAGCTACAACTTGCTAGAGTTAGTTATAATCATGCGTTCTGTCACATATATTCCGGTTTTTTCGAAAAGTCAAAAACTTTTTGAAAAAATATAAAAATATAAATTTTGAATATTATTATATAAAATTTTCAAAATTTTCAAAATTTTGAAAATCCGAGATAGCAGTTTGATAGCACGATCAATTCTGAGTCCTTTCATGCAAAGAAATTGGATCTAGCTTAAAAACTGAGCTCTTGGGAGCGATTGCCGTGGTTCAATGTTTTGCGTCGAATTCGGACGAACATGACGTCACTCTGACGTCATTTCCGGCCGACCTATGGTAGCTACGAAGTTCAAATTTTGACACAAGGTGTCAAATTGATGCAGCCAAAGGTACTGAAAGTTTGGCGTTGATCCGTCAAGCGGTTTGGAAGTTATTGCGGAAAAACGGGAGGGGGCTATAAATAGCCCCCCCAGTGGGGCGCGGGTTAAGTCACCAGCGAAAGCTATGAGGTCTGGACAAAATTTTTGAGCTTCTAAAACACTGTCGGATAGATAATCTACTAGTCCCTTTAATCTCTTTAATCCCTTTAATCCCTTTCCTTATAATAAGATAATATGATATAACAAGATATAATAAGATAATCCCTTTAAAGGGACCCTCCCACCTTAACATTAAATTTGAGTTGAGATAGCCAAAAGGGGGTCCCTGGCTCACAATTACCGGTTTCGGCACTCACAACATCGAGAAATGCCTTAAATCGGAAATATTGAATTTCAAAATTGCAGCATTTTGATTCAGAGGGGCTAATGCATAGGAATACCCCTCTGAATGTGTGACGTCAGCGCAGATATCTAACGATTTTTAAATGTTTGACTAAAACGTTTTGTAGCACGCGGTGGTATATGCTGCTTTGCGCGCAACAAGTGCCACACTTTCAGCTGCCAAACTATTGCTTCCAAATAAAGTCGCTAGGAACAGCAGAGATCCAAAAAAGTAAACAAAAGTAAAAGTCTTATATCTTGAACACCGGTGAACATTTTTTGGTGAAATTTGGTAGATATTCGTTTTCGCTCTTTCTGAACCGAGCGACATCACTTTCATGCCAATTCATAGGTAAACTTTTTTGAAGGTGGGAGGGTCCCTTTAAAACCTCTTGGCACGTGGCACGTGCGATTCCATTTTCCCGGTGTTAACCCGCGAGTTGCTGGGGGGGGGGGGCGTTAAACGCCCCCACTTTTTTTCGCCGGGCCATAGCATAAAAACGGCGCGCCGCAGATTTTGGGTACCTGTAGGGAATTGATTGAAGTCTATTGTGACAAAATTTCAAAAAAAAATCGGTCCGAAATTTTTGAGATATCGAGGTTTTAGTGACGTCATGATTTCTGAGTTTTCGACCAAAAAACGGCATATGTTCAAAACATCATATAAAATCACAGAATAGACATACAGACATGCCGTAAACGGCATTAGACTGCCAATACCATGAACAATCAAATGGCTATCTTCGATTATTGATTATCGTTTCGCATTTGCCAAAATCTTGATCTGAATCTTGGCAATTTCCCGTGACTACTTCACGACCATGATACATACATTTCTTAAATTGAACTTTTTGAGCCAAACACGTACACATATGATAAAATGAATGTCACCATCGTGTTCTACGCCCCAAATTACCCATAAAACATGTGTCACAGGCTGCGAATATCAGTTTTGATTTTCGGGGATGTGTGCCTACCCCGGTTGACCTGACCTTGACCTGACCTATGCTTGACTGACCACTACATGGGCTGACACTCTTGTAGGCCTTATATGATGGATTGTGCACCGTTTTGACAGAGTTTATGACGAGAGGCGCTCATTGCGAAGTCTTGAATTCCATGCTACTGAAAGCCGGATTTCAGGTGTTTGACCTGACTTTGACCCGACCTGTGACCTCAAAATTCAACTTTAAAGTACTCATCTGAAGCGTCTCGTCGCGTTCTTTCGTTTGCCGCCTCGTGCGTTTCGCTGCGCCTATTGGTTCTCGAGTTATCGGCTGGGGGCGTTTAACGCCCCCCCCCCCAGCAAACGGTGGGTGGCGAAATACCCCAGCAACTGCCGGGTTAAGTCAAAAGTTAAGTTAAGTGGGCTGGCTGTGGACTGGCGGACCGCTCCTCACGGCGCCGGGACTGGCTGTGGGCTGGCTGTGGGCTGGCTGTGGACTGGCTGTGGACTGGCGGACCGCTCCTCACGGCGCCGGGACTGGCTGTGGGCTGGCTGTGGGCTGGCTGTGGGCTGGCGGACCGCTCCTCACGGCGCCGGGACTGGCTGTGGGCTGGCTGTGGACAGGCTGTGGGCTGTCTGTGGACAGGCTGTGGGCTGGCTGTGAACTGGCTGTGGGCTGGCTGTGGGCTGGCTGTGGGCTGGCTGTGGGCTGGCGGACCGCTCCTCACGGCGCCGGGACTGGCTGTGGGCTGGCTGTGGGCTGGCTGTGGGCTGGCTGTGGGCTGGCTGTGGACTGGCTGTGGGCTAGCGGACCGCTCCTCACGGCGCCGGGACTGGCTGTGGGCTGGCTGTGGGCTGGCTGTGGACTGGCTGTGGGCTAGCGGACCGCTCCTCACGGCGCCGGGACTGGCTGTGGGCTGGCTGTGGGCTGGCTGTGGACTGGCTGTGGGCTGGCGGACCGCTCCTCACGGCGCCGGGACTGGCTGTGGGCTGGCTGTGGGCTGGCTGTGGACTGGCTGTGGACTGGCGGACCGCTCCTCACGGCGCCGGGACTGGCTGTGGGCTGGCTGTGGGCTGGCTGTGGGCTGGCGGACCGCTCCTCACGGCGCCGGGACTGGCTGTGGGCTGGCTGTGGACAGGCTGTGGGCTGTCTGTGGACAGGCTGTGGGCTGGCTGTGAACTGGCTGTGGGCTGGCTGTGGGCTGGCTGTGGGCTGGCTGTGGGCTGGCGGACCGCTCCTCACGGCGCCGGGACTGGCTGTGGGCTGGCTGTGGGCTGGCTGTGGGCTGGCTGTGGGCTGGCTGTGGACTGGCTGTGGGCTGGCGGACCGCTCCTCACGGCGCCGGGACTGGCAGTGGGCTGGCGGACCGCTGGCGGCGCCGGCGCCGTGACGTCACCGCCGGCGTCGGCTCGGGGTCGGTGGCCCTTTGCACCGCCGCGCCGGCCCGTGCAGAGTAGACGGCCACGCCAGTGCAGAGGTGCGCCGGTGGCCAGTGCGACTTTGCTGGTGGATCAGAGGTGGGCTCGGACCACTCTGAGAGTAGTGCGAGTTTCCTTTCCAGTGTGTGGCACGGCTCACTCCGCTGGAGTGGCACGAACATCGGACGACTTTGTTGGTTATACTAGTGATTATGAGTGAGACAAGACAACTTTTTAGCTCTGCCAAAAGAGCGCGAGTGGAAACGCTATGAGCCGCTCAATGCCAACATATGGCGGAGATTTGGCTTTAATTGTATGGCGGCAGCGGTGACGAAATCTACCGGTGGACCGTGATCTGGCGGCTCAAGACCTTGTGCATTTGTTGCTACCGGTGGACCGTGATCTGGCGGCTCAAGACCTTGTGCATTTGTTGCTAGTGGATATGTGAAGGGAAAATGACGATGCGATCTATTTCGTCCTGGCTTCCGTTGACGCTGATCGCCGTC